ATTATACATGGAGTCACTTCCTTGAAATAAAAGGAATGGCTTCGGACAGTTGTATTAAGTCTTAAGAGTGAAACTGCTTTCCTGCATGAGAAGCCAAAAGGTTTGAGAGCAGAGCTGGGAGTCTTGAAGGTCACTCTGTAACTACTCTGCTTCAAAACAGCCAATGTTTTCTAGATAACAGAGTTTTTATTTTTATGTCATTAAAGTAGGCTATCATGATGAGATTACAGAGCAATAGAGCATAAAAATGTTAGACCAATACTTCAAAAAGCTTCTTTAAAAACAAAGAATGTATTTCTTTTGGTGCCATTCATAACATCACTCCCTTCCATAGAATGTGAACATACAAATCATCTAATTTCTGTTGGCATTAATTTCCATATTTTAAAATGTAAAATTAGATAATCTCAAATGAGAATACTCTGAGTTTTAAAATTCTATAACTCTGTGGTTTATAGGGAAAGAATATAAATTGATGATGCAAACAGAACTATTACCAAATTAATACCTGTGTTGTTTTACAAATGGTCATAACATCAAAGTACAAATTAATTTATGCTCTTTGATCAGTAGGGACCACTTCACTTTTATGCTTTTTATTATAAAATGTACTAACGTGTTTAATTAAAATTTATCAAATGAATAAAAATACCTTCAGCCTTTAGAGAAATATGGTAAAAGAAAAACCTAAAGTATTAAAATATTTTCAATTTGCAGGGTGAAAATTTGGCAAAACCACAATAGTTTTAGCTTAAACACAGTCACATATTTGAGTTTTTTCTTTGTTGTTTCAAAATAAAATGCAAAGTATCAAGTTTTTTTATTAAATACTGACTAAATACTTGTCTGAAGCTATAAAGAATGTGAAAGTTTTTTTCTTAAACTTTTTAATATTTCAAATCATTGAACCTAGATTGATTTGAACCAGTCGTACACAGAACCTAAGTTATGGTGCTAGGTAGAGAGAATAATACTAAGTTTAGAGAAAGATACATTCGCTTCCTTAGAAGACATTCCTCTTTAGTAGAAACAAACCATTACATTTTCTTACAAAATGAAATTAAGATAAGGAATGTAAGAGAGAAAGCAGAATCTGAAATAACTCAGGTAACTGGATATACAAGAAACTCGAGGGTTTGGAATGGGTCAAAGAAGTCAGGTTTTTTGGTTGTTTTTTTTTTTTTTTTGTCTTTTTTTTGTCTTTTTCATTTTTATTGGTACCAGGAATTGAACTCACGACCGCCTGCTTGCAAGGCAGGTGCTTATGCTGCTGAGCTAAATCCCCAGCCCCAAAGAAGTCAGTTTTGAGCATGTAGATTGAAAGCCGGAAGAACATTCATAGGGATGTTTGTAAACTACTAAAAATCTAGGTTAGAAGTTTGCAGGAAAGATCTGGACTCCAAATTACGTCCAGAGATTGACAGTCCGCCTAAAGGTGAAGCACAGTTACAAATTTCACCCCTACTCAGTGCTATTGCTACATAAGCGGCTTTCTTTGTTCACGCCTAGTTTGGAGAAACTCAGGTAGGTTGCAAAGGTTGATTGAGGCCCAGATAAATCACTCTTGACTCATCTGTGAGATCACTGTATTACGTTCATATTACTGAGCTTAGCTCATTTTTATGTTTGCTTTAGTGTTATTATCTATTTTCAGTTTTCTTCTACAGTCTGAAAACCACTGAAATTATTAACACACAAATAGCAGAGGTGGAGATAGGGCTGCGAAGTGTCATCTTAAAGTTAGACTTCCCCCTTTCTCTCATGAGTCATAATGGAGATGGTGCTATTTGATATTTAATGTGGTATTCTTTGTGTGTGTGTGTCTGTGTGTTTGAGACAGGGTCTCTCTATGTGGTTCAGGGTGGCCTTGAACTCACTTATGTAGGTCAGGCTGGCCTTGAACTTGAAGTAATCCTTCCGCCTCACCTCCTGAGTGCTGAGATTATAGATGCACGCCCAGCCTTGGTTATAACGTTCATTTCTGTTTACAATATAAATGCCAAATTGAGTTAGGAAGGGCATAGTGAGATAAAGCTAACAAAATACCTCAGTGCCACAGTACATACGAGTCAGTGCGATATTCCTCTATTGTGGCTTTTGCTTAGAACATCAACTATGATTTTAATGCTGCAAAAAACACATGTAAATTTCATAAGTAAATGTGTTTTTAAAAATGCTACCTAATGTATCATATCTTTATATATAAGAAAACCAAGGGGTACCCTGAAAAAGGAGCATGTTTATAGTGCTCTGGAAAAAGGATAGAGGAGACAAAACGGAAGTCAAGTGAAAAGCTCACTAGTCTCATGAATCTGCATTTGCCTGTGTGTCCCTGGGTCATGTGATGTCTTTGAAAATTCCTCCTTGTGAGAATGCACTTATACTCTACACTAGCATTCCTTGTCCCCATCAAGATACACTAGTTGTGAAAGTAAGATGGCCTTTCAGAGGCATATGATGATTTTATATATCTATTTAACATTTAAGGTTTTAAAGACGAGCCTGGCATGTTGGCAGGTACCCATAGTCCCAGCCACTTTGGAGGCTGGAGCAGGAAAAATGCAGGTTCAAGGCCCACCTGGACAGCTTGTGAGACCTTGTCTCAAGTGAAAAGGATTAGTTCAGTGGTGTAAAGGATGCTAATTCTGGCATCACCAGTCTCCATGTTGTGTGACTCTGATCTGGTCCCCACTGCTGAGTGGTAACATGAAAATCTATTTTAATCATACTTTCCTACAAGATTTTTTTGAAAGTTAAATGAGTCTTTAGTGTACCTAGTACCGAAGGAACCCTCAGTTAAGTGATCATTACTAGTGCTTGAATATAATGGTATTTAGTTCTCTAGGCAATCTTACATTTGGGTTGTAACTTGGAAAATGGGAAGACTCATTGCTTAATAAAGCAGTGATAGATACTGATATGAAAGAATTTCAGAAGGACCAAAAATTTAAAGTTGTGCATGAGAAATAGAGAAGACAGTGGTTAGGGACAGGAGAATCCAATTCAGGAGAAGGACATGATTTTAAAATATCTGGATCATATGCTAGTGACACCTTCCACATTCCCCATGATTTCCCCAAATTAACTGCTGTGAATTCCGTGTCATTTGTAAGTTTATTTGGTATCTTGGAGCGTAGTTCATTGAATAAGACTTGAAAGCTACTGGGTACCACGTCAAGCTCTTCTCACCTAACAGGCCATCAGTCCCTCTTCCCATTTCTTCTCTGTCCTTTTCAGTCTGAAGATCATTCTCCTAAGTGGAGAAGATTTAAAATGACAGGCATAGAGTTTCTGTTTTTATCTGTTGAGATTGTTTTCTCTTCCTTCACAAAGAGTAGGTTTGTTCCTGCCTTGTTTTTCTTTCTCTAAAAACAGGTTTTTAAAAGAGTCTCCTTGTTGTTGAGTAAGCCTGTGATCGTTCTGGACTGCAGCCAGCAGGCCAGTATTCAGACAGGCTTGGGTAACTTTCTTCCTGACCTCAGTTACCTGCCTCTGTTCCCTTTTACTGTTCATATCTTAAAAGTTCTTTTTCAGTCCCATATTGACAGACCATTAGTGTTTTAAGGTCAAATAAAAGTGGTCGAAGCTGTGACCTTTGTAGCCCTGAGGGTTTATGCCTAAGGATTTAGAAAATGGTACACTGTTGATGTTGGAGGTAGAAATGTGGCATTGGTTTGGAGTAGGAATGATCAATTCAGATTGAAAGAATTGGGAGGACAATTGGAAATGACCTGCGAGGTAGTTGAAACATGGAATTAAAGAAAATGGGAGGCTGGGCGTGGTGGGACATACCTGTAATGCTAGTAGTTCTGAAGGCTGAGGCAGGAGGATGGCTGGTTCAACCCCAGCGTGGGCAATTTAGAGACTTAGTGAACCCTGTGTCAAAATTTTTAAGAAAAGTGGGGACTAGTGCAAAGGTCCTAAGTTCAACAGCCAAAAAAGAAAAGGAAAGAAAAAAATGCAAGAAACCATAATTAGGTAGATATAGCAATTGTTCTATTTAATTAACCAAAAACTTAGATGCTGTGCAAATATACAGTCACCTTCAGAATACAGTGAAAAAAAAAAATCAGAAGAAAGCTAAAGTACTAAGGAAAATGAATGCTTGTGAAAAAGAGGAGAGTGAACTACAGCCCCCTGAGTAAACACCAACAAACCAAAGTAATCCTAAAAGCATTTTGTTGTTGTTATTAGATATTGCATCATCCTTGGCCAACTATCTGTCTCATTCAATTAGATGTAGTGCCCTGGGGTGATAGCGTTACTAAGCACCAACAGATGGGGGTCAACCCATATTTTAGATGGGTTTTCAGAAGTATTGTAAACAGCAGTTGTTACATGACAGAAAATGATGATAATTGAGGTTATGTTCTTAAATACTTAACTGGAAGGTTAGATGATGAGTAGTAGCAGAATATAAATACCTAATTCTTGCCGGATGAAGCCACTGAATGCCTGTGAATGTTGGTCTTGGTTTTGGTTTTATAGTAGCCAATGTTATGGTGGCCACCTGCTTTTCCTTCCACAAGAGCTTGGATCAGAAGGTACAGGAATAGCCAGATTTCTGTTTGAAAAACATCTCTACCAAATTAGAAAAGTAACACAGGAAGCAGGCCTTCGTGCCTTCTCATGAGAAAGATGGAAGTGAAATTGGACAGAGCAATTTTATAATTTTCCTAAACATGTTAGAAGAAAAACTAACATGGCACGCTTTTCTTCCCTTCCGTGCATAAAGACAGCTAACCAAACTCCTTATCCCACTAAACCCTGCCGTTCCTCGTACCTGTGCTTATTCTGCTGTTTGCAGCCTCCTGCTTTCCATTGTGTTGAGCATGGAAGCTGTGCAGGAGACTGAAATATTTTCTACAGTTTTTGGTTTGACACTTGGGGATGTGATATTTCTACACAGGGCTCTATTGATTTTTTTTTTTTTTTGACAGAATCCATTTTCCAATTAAAAAATAACCTTATATTAAGAGAGTCTTCTTTTTGCCAATTAGGTCAAAGTCCTAAAATTTTAAGACCCAAACCCCATGGTTTAGAGCGAACTGATTCACAAACCATAGGTGACTTTCCTACAAGAAGAAAGGGTATGTACTTTAGCACCGCATGCTCTATGGGACCCTGGGAATTTATTTACTGTGGAATGTTTTTTTCTTAAAGAATGAGTGAGAAAAAGAGCCTTAAATACTGTGACCACTGTTGTAAATATAGCTTCCCTGCATGTTGTTTCTAAAGGCAATGCTTCCCATAATACATGATGAGTCTAGCTGTTATACCATTAACCGCAGCATGTTAAATATTTGATAATGTGATATTGTCTTATTCTGTTGCATTATTTCTTTAACTTTTTAGACGACAGTACATTGTTTTCTTTAAGCTTATTAACTGCATGTGAGTTCCAGTTGTCTATCTATATATGTATAAAATACATGTATTCTGTCCTGAGACATCAGAAAGAATTTATTTCTATGTATTAATTGGGCCATTATTTAGAAATTGATAGCCTTTGCATGTCAAAAAAGTGCAATATCAGCTTAGCATGGTGTTTCACACCTGTAATACCAGCTAATTGAGAGACTCAGAGGGAGGATCATAAGTTTGAGACCAGCCTGAGCGACTTTATCTTGGAAGAAAACCTTTTCAAAAAGGATGGGGATGTAGCTCACTGGTAGTCTGGTTGGCTTGCATAAGACCCTAGGTTCAATTTTTAATACCTTAAAAAGCAAAAAAGTGAAACATAAAGAATTAATACAGCATTCTGTAAAAGACTGTTTTTAAGTATGTGGACAAGGAAAGTTGTTTTAATTTGAATTTAATAAATGAGTTTAGTTTTCACCGTATTTGAGTCAATAAAAATACTAGAATATGAGCCTGAAGGATCTGTTTAATCCTTTGAAATGCTTGCCTATTTTGTAATTTGATGGTGATTATAACACAGTTGATTAAAATTACCCAGATGAACAAAGACTAAGGAAACATAGACAAATGAAAACCTTTCTTTATACACTCCAAATGAAACATAACTAAAACAGTTACCAAATATGTTTAAGTACTCTTCTAAAAATAATTAATATTAACAAATGCTAGTGTTTTTATCTTTTTTGCTCACTCTGTACATTTCTGAAAAATAATTGAGTCTCAACATTAAGAAAAAGACCAAGAATTCTGTGGTACATATTAAAATAATTTTCTTCTGCAAAAATGAGATAAGTAAAAACTCTTTATTTTAAAAAATTGAATATAAGTATTAATATTACTTAATTTTATTTAACTTGATAAAGGAGACATTAGTTGAATTAAACTAAAAATTGGAGGTGATTATTTAATTACAGCCATTTCTTAAAGTATAAAGATCATTTATCTTTTTGTTTGTTTCCAGATTGAGTACAAATTATTTTTATAGATTTGATCATTAATCCTTGTGTTTTTAGCAAATTTTAATTCGGTTTTACTGAAGTTTTTAAAATCCTTCCTATGCATCATTTTGCATGTAAACTTGTATAACTTATGCTTTGATATGAAAAAATAGGAATATTTTTACTAGATGATTCATATCCATATAGAAGACAAATTAGTAAAAGAATGAGTTAATAAAATAATGAAACAAATAAAGCAAGTATAAAGGAATTGGGTCACATTAGTTTTTCTTACTCTCTTTACATTTATAAAATATTTGCTTAAATTAAGAAGCAACATGTTACAATAGGGCTTTATACTTGAAGTTAACAATCATGAAGCATCTAATTTTTCCACATAGTGTTTAGCTGTGTAACCAAGTGGAGTATACCAAGGAATACCGTTGAGCCTTATTTCATGTGTGAAACTAGCTTCTCTTAGATTTGATCTGACTGTCTGATATAAATTGAGATATAGCAGATCTTGTTTTGCAAAGTTTGTGCACTAAACTCTTCCTTTTTCTTACTTTTCAGCCAAGCCAGCACCTTTAGAAATAAAACCATTGCCTGAATGGGAAGAATTACAGGCCCCCGTTAGATCTCCCATCACTAGGAGTTTTGCTCGAGAGTAAGTATTTTGTTTAAAATATGTACTGTGAGTAACATGACTGTCTGGAATTATTATCGAGCAAGATAACTGAAACAGTGGTTCTCAGAGGACTGTCTGGAGAGCACCCCTTTTGGGGGTCCACAAAGTCGAAAATTTTCACTAAGATACTAAGAGGTGAAGTTGCCTTTTCTATTCTCTGTGTACAGTAGAGTTTTCCAGATCATATGTGGTAATAATCATGTGACAGTAATAGAATATGTATTAAAAACATTTCTATTTTCACTTCTAATACAGCATTAATGGAATAATATATATAAAGTATCTTGAGGTTTTCAATAATGTTAATTGTATTAATCATGACACAAAAAATTTCTGACAACTACTAATCTAGAAAATACAGTATTTTCTCATAGGGCTTATTGAGTTGAGATTATTTAAATGTATAGTAAAGTGAGAATAATTTGTGAAACTACAAATGGACTATGTTTGTTTAGAGGTCTATATACAGGTATTTTTTTTTAAAAGAAATAGGAATTTTAAAATTGTTTTTCTTATGGATTTCTACTTACCCATAAATTACTGATAATATTTATTTTTGCTTGCATTATAGAATAGAATCTGAAATCCAAAAAGGTCTTTTGTAATAAGATGTGTGTGTGCGGGTGTGTTAGTTGTGTATCGTGTGGACAATAAATTGTTACAACAAATGTGTATAATAAACAAACATAAATGAATCTTCCAGAAAGATGCACGCTATCACTCATTTTTATTTTCTAGGAGTGAATTTAGGAATCGTGTCATGTTTATGTTCATGTTTACGATGGTAATTTCTGTGTTCAGCTCCTCTAGGTTTCCAATATCCCCCCGGCCGGATTCAGTGCATAGCACAACATCAAGCAGTGACTCACACGACAGCGAGGAGAACTATGTCCCCATGAACCCAAACCTGTCCAGTGAAGAGCCAGTACGTAGAGTTTTTGTCCTACTCTCTCCCTTCCTGAACAGTCCTTTGAAAACGTTGTTCCAGCCTGTATGTTTTACCTTCGTGTCTTTCTCCCCATACTTAAGAGAAAACAGGGACAACTTTTTAAAATGCTTTTTGTATTTAAAGAAACAAAGACTAAAACCAATAAATGGCACATGTGTGACATCATCTGTAACTATAAACTAGTTGAAAATATAGTAAGGTTTTGTGTTTGCTAGCTCTCCATTACTAAACCAAATCCTGAGATAATTAACTTATAAATAGGAAGGATTTATCTGGGCTCACAATTTGTGAGGTCCCAGTCCATGTGTGGTTGGCTTTGTCATTTGGGGCCTGTGGCAGGTGTGAGTGGCAGAACACAATTACTTCATAGCTAGGGAGCAGAAGAGGACGCATCACCAGTGACCGAAAGATCACCTCTCATCCCCTCACCCCTTCATCCCCTTAAAAATGCTGGTACTTCCAAACAGTGCCACCTTGGGGACCAAGACTTTAAGACATGAGCTTTGGGAGACAGTTTAGATCCAAATTACAGCAGTTTTCCAGTTCCCCTCATTTAAGGTGTACTTGACTTTTGATACTCTTTGAGAAAATAAACTGGAAGCATCTTATAATGTATTTACCAAGCTATTTCCTCATGTGTGAGGTCTTTAATAATCTTTCAGTAGTATAACCTTGGGCTTAAAAGAACTGTTAAAAGCATAATTTGTTTCTGGTTGGTTATATTATCACAAGGCATGAGACCTCTTGGATAGTAACAAGCATTTGGTTTCCTAGAAATCAAGCAGTGGAGAGAAAATACTTCAGATATTCAAGAATACAAACCCAGCTTAATTTTTAAAAATATTTTGCTTTTGCTTTCCTTTAAATCAGAATTAATGCTTGTTCAGTGCTTGTTTAATGAGTTAACAGATAAGAATTCCAGTTAAGATTAGATTTGCCTCTTAAAATCAAAATAAGTAACTTTGACTTACGACAGGGATTTACTTGTATATTGTATGCCAAAGTCTAGAAAGTCAGTCCAGACTTTTAATCCCAAATGCAAGGGTAAGGCAGGAAAGAAATAAGAAAGTGATCATTAGAAGAATGTTTGCCAAACCTCTTTAATTTTGGAATTTAAATTATTTATGAAATACTGAGAATTTCTCAGAATCTCATGTGTGATTGCATTGATGAATTCAGTTAAAAAAAAAAAAAAAAAAAGACAGTCCTAGACAGTTGAGACAGGATTGAACCAAAAGAACTAAATTCCCTGAATTGAAATGAGGCTCATACATTTCCTAGATCAGTGAACATGAGATGGGCAGTATAGTATGAAACATTTTTTTCTTACCATAGCTGCTTTCTCATTGCTGCAACAAAATACCTGATGCCCACAAGTTAGAAGAAGAGAGAAGTTTATTTTGGCTTACAGTTTGTTTTCAAACCATAGTCAGCTGGCTCCAAGGCGGAAGGCATGGCAGAGGAGAAAGAGCTCAGGGCATGGTGGCAGGAGGAATGCAGAGCTCAAGGAGGAGGGAAGAGATACACCCTTCCAGGCCATGCCCTGATCACTCACCTCCCAAGCTTTACCTCCCAACATCACGTTTAGCTATCAACTCATCCGTGGACTCATCCAGTGATGAGTATGACCCACGTGATCCGGTCACCTCCCAAAAGCCCCACAGATGGGCATGTAAGATTTTAGGGGAGCATCTAGATAGAAACCATGGTACATTTGGGTAAGGATCAAGTCACACATGCATCCAGTGTGCCTGTAGTGTGACACTTGAAATTTGAGTGAAGGTCATACCGTTAGAACAGACCTAAATATTGTGACGTAGCAGCACAACACAAATATCTTCAAACAATTTTATGCATTTTAAAAGCATTCAGAAAAACCTCGCACTACTGTTTGGTTGTTTAATTTAAAGAATACTTACAGTAACTCCTAGTGTCTTGGTTGTTCTCCAAAAATTTTGTTTTTGAAAATGTGGGGTGAAAGACCAGACCAGGTAGAATAAGACCAAGAGCAAACAATGTCCTTGTAGACACACAAATTTATCAATATTTAATGATGAAAAAAATTAGTTCTAGAGGGAATTAATCGTAAAATTCAACTAGCAGTTGTGAGAAGTTTTCTTTAAGGAGTTTTTTGAGATTAAGTGTGCAGGTATCATGAATGGATGGATTCTTTTGATAGCCTTGATGTTTTGGTTACTTTTTCTGTCGTTGGTGAGACAAATACCTGACACTCAAAATGAGAGTAGGAAAGGTATATTTAGCTTGCAGTTTTTGAGGGTTTCAGTCCATATTCAGCTGGCTCCAAGGCAGGGTGGCAGATAGCAGGGACCAGCCATTCATGGAGGCTGCAAGCGACAGGAGTGAAATGGGCATTAAGGCAAAGCACACCTCCTTCCCTCGCTAGTGTTGTATGCGGAGTCTGCCCCAGGTGAATGTAGCACTCAATCCCAGCGCTGGATAATGAACCAGTCACAAACGCTAGGCTCAGCCGCCTCCATGACTGCATGAAGCTTTGGGGGGACATTTAAACAAACCATAGCATTGTCTAAAACTGTGAACACTGTAGGCATTCCCAAGCAGGGAGAATCAGGTTGTAAGTTCTTTCATTGGTCACCTTTGAAGACAGACCATCACTCATGCTCACAGTTGATTTTTTTTTTTTTTTTTTTTTTTAATGTGAGAGTGAAATATGGAGCCATTCAGGGGAAAAAGTTGTTGATTTCATTTTCTTTATAATTTTTCTTTATAAATTAGGAAGGGAGGATTTGAACATCAAAACTCTCACAATTGTGTCCTTTATGTTATCTGCAGTGTTTTTTAATATTTTATTCGAAGTAGTTAAGTTTGGTTTACAAGTCTGTTGCTCCAAACAGGCCATCATGTTGACTTGGGCGGATGGCCGGTCACACACATACCATGTAGCTCACTGTGCAATCCAGGCCTTCCGGTGCTACTCACCAGGCTGTGGGCCCTGCCATGCACTGTGCTGCCCCCAGGAAGAGGCAGCTTTCCCCACTTCACTGGCAGGCTTTGTGTTGGCTGTCAGCAGCTTGGCTGCCACGCGGTGGAGCAGATGTAGTATTTGTCTAGCAGGTGTCCTTTCTCTAAAGCACAGCTTTCTCTGTTTAACCTGAACAAAAAGAAAGCAAGTAGCAACCCACAAAAAAACAATCAACAGAATCACATTTATGTAATTTTCAAATTGACTCGTTCATTCCATACTCCATCCTGTAAAGTTGGTTCTGATTTTCTTCAGAAAGACGATAGCTGGTCACGAACACCCCCATGGCAGAGGCAGTCCTAATTCGGTGCAGTCCTGCCCCTGAGAAGTCCGTAGCATTTCTAGATGGGGAAAATGTGGCGCGGCATGCAAACGGGACATGGTGGGAACACATTTGGAAAACGACCATAATCGGGGTGGAATGGATGTAGGGACCTAAGTTCATTCGTCCTTTCCTCTTTATGTATCATGGTTCTTAAAGTTCCTGATAGCCTGCTCCACTTTTCTGCTTCAGGCTTTTTCGTTCTTGTTTAATCACTGTCCTCTATTTTCTTTGCCTTCTTTAAGAGAGCACTTGCTTTACAATTCCTTCTAGGAGAAAAACAGGATCAAGTTAAGAAAGGCAGAGGAAATTAAGTGTCCAGAATTCCAGATGATTGCGGTAGAACAGAGCTTGCCAGTGGAGTCATCTGTAGAGTGTAGTTAGCGTATTCTCTTAAAGCCTTTGCATAATGTGTAGAAAGGTCTTCTTCAGTTTAACTTAAATCCTGGACTACAAGGATCCTTTATTATAAAAGCATTATATAGTACAGATAAAATTTTAATTATGTTCAAGTTGTGCTTACGTGACCAACTGTGGCTCAGTGTCCTCTCCTTAGTTCAATCAAATTTAACTTTTGAAACTACTCTTAGCTTGTTCTTCAGTTTAAATCAATTCTTAGGTGCCAGGGGTTTAGCTTGGCAGCCTAAGTGCCTGCTTGGCAAATATGAAGTGGTGAGTTCGATCCTCAGTACCAAAAAGATAAAATAAAAAGAAAAATAAATCAATTCTTAAGTATTACTTTTAATCTCATGTTTACTTTTCTAAGCAGACATTTCTTCAAGCTATGTTCTCCTGGAAATAAATTATTTAAGCTCCAGGAGATAGCAGATAAGACGAGTGGTGTGTATTGGCTGTAGGGGTCTGTGCCTGCAGTCCCAGCTACTGAGGCAGGAGGGTCGCTTGGCACAGACATTCAAGAGCAGCCTTCGCACACAGCCAGACTTCGTCCATTAGTGAGTCTCAGGTGTATGCGAGCACTGATTTTGTTCTGTTTCACTTTCAGAATCTTTTTGGTAGTAATAGCCTGGATGGAGGAAGCAGTCCTATGATCAAGCCCAAAGGAGACAAGCAAGTGGAATATCTGGATCTAGATTTAGATTCTGGGAAATCTACACCACCACGTAAGGTAAGTAAAACTTTGTTCTATAAATACAGTTACAAGCCGGGTGTGGTGGCACAGGGCCGTAATCCCAGCCCTCTGGGAGACTGAGGCAGGAGGATCATAAGCTGGCACCAGCCTGGGCAACTTAGTGACTTAGTGAGACCGTATCTCAAAATAAAAAGACTAGGAATATAGCTCAATGTATAGGCCCTGGTTTCAGTCCCTAGTACCACAATACACACATGCATACATGCATGCATGTGTACATACATGATACATACATGTACATACTTAAAGAATCATTTCCTTTGGGAAAACTGTATTTAATTTAAATTTAGAAAAGTATAGATTTGGGAGTATCTCAGTCATATAGAACATTTGCCTAGCATGCAGAAGGCCCTGGGTTCAATCCTTAGCCCTGCAAAATAAAAAATGAACAGATTAGCAAAGTCTGTTATTCAGTGCTGCTCAGAAAATCACAGATAACAAAATTACAGACTTACACATTTGCTTTTTCTTTTCTGATGTTATGGAAGTTATACATTCTCTGCTCTCTTAGAGTTTACTGTTGAAATGATTCCTGAACAAATTCTGAAGTTAATCAGTGTCTCCAATCTCTTTAGAATATTAGCTCAAAAATTATGTGCTATTTTTATCAGAAAAATTTTTTTTTGTTAAACTCACAAATTAGTTAGTACAAGCACTCTCCTTACTACGCAAACAACACTTAATTTCCCGACCTGTTTACCGACTCATTCCTTCTTGAATCTCAGCCTTTCTTTCTGTAATAGTTTTTCCTTTCTCCTTGAAGTACAGCCATCAGAAGTTCCATTAGTCTGCTAGTGGCAAATTCCTTTCAGTTTTTGTTTAATTTAAATGTCTTTCTTTTGCCTGTGTGCTTGGAAACAATTTTGTTGAGCTTACAGTTCTTGACTGGCAGTAGCTTTCTCAGCACGGGGGAAATATCGTCGCCTGTACCTGACTTCTGTTCCTGTTGAAAGTGCTGCTGCCATTTCTTCGTAGGTCGCCTGTCTTTTCTGTCTGGCTGATTTTAACCTCTTTTCGGTCTGTAGCATTTTATAGTTTGATAACAGTCTGTCTAGATGCACAGTAGATCCCTTTTTCTATATCTTATTTGGCCTAAGTAGTGCTACCTTTTTTCTGGATTTATATTTTTCTCAGCTCTGCAAAATGCCTTCAGTGTCTTTAAATATTGCTTCTCTGCTAATTGTTTTATTTTTTTGGTCTTTATGAGAACTTGTTATATTTCCCATCTTTATTACTATTCTTTTATAATTTTTAACTTCTCATTTCTCTTTAACTGGATAATTTTGCTACATCTATCACTGGTTTTCTAATTTTCAATTTTTCTTATTTGTTTCATTCAATGTTTGTATTTCTGAACGATGGTGGATTCCTTTTTGTTATACCTCACTGATTATAGTAGTTTTTGATTCCTTACCCAATTTATGCCTTTTTAGTTTTAATTCTTGATTTCTTTTTAATATTTATGTGTGGATATTTTCTGCTGCTGAGAGGCAGCAATTTCCATTACTGACATCCTTGAAGGTTTGAGTTGTGTTGATTTTTTTCCACTTACTACAAAACCAGTGGCTTGTTTCCCTTACGCTTATGAGGCCCTAAATTTCCTTTAGAAAGGATTTTTTGTTAAAAACCAGGCGGTACCACCACCCTGGGACCACATTACTTCTTTTTAGGGAGAAGCCTCACAGGATAGCTGGTTTGTCCCCTCCTTCCTTGGGCCTCCCGATTGCACTGCTGAGATTGGTGTTCATCGTAAAGATAACATTACCCTTGTTACGCAGCAGCTCCGTGTCCTCCTGTTTCTCTGACACCTTACCTATTTTCTTTATTTTCTAGTAAGCCCAACAGTGAATCAGGAATTATATCTGTTTTAAGTGATCTAGCCGTCAGTCAGATTTTGGGAATTAAGAGGGCATTGACCTATCCATTTTTTCCTGATTTACTACTTTGCAAAACATTTTTTTAACTCTGAGAGTAAACACTGATTAATGTTCTCTGGGCTTTTGAAAAAAGTCAAGTTTAAGCTAAAAAACCAGTCAAGTTGTATACGTCCCTATTTTCTCTGAATTTCATCTGTGATCAGAGCAGGAGTTTGAGTTCCTTTTGTTGTTTGAATTCTTCTGCAGGACTATTTTAACCTTAAGAGAAAATAGTGTATGATTAAGAGAGAGAGATAAAACTGATACATTGATGTCATTCCTGGTTTTTTGGGGTTTTTTTGGTAACCCGGCAGAATTTCTGGAGCATGCAGAGTGTCTGTGTGTCTATGTTTTGAGGCTGAATTTCACTCAGAAACACTCCTCTGTATTTGACACTTTGTGATGTTTTCCTGTTTTAGCAAAAGAGCAGCGGCTCCGGCAGCAGCGTGGCGGATGAGAGAGTGGATTATGTTGTGGTAGACCAGCAGAAGACTCTGGCTCTGAAGAGTACCCGGGAAGCCTGGACAGATGGCAGACAGTCCACGGAGTCTGAAACACCCACCAAGAGTGTGAAATGAAAACACTGCCTCGCCATTTCTGCGCAGAAGTGAACTCAGTTGTGAAGATAAACCCTGCTTGCAGCCGTCTCACCACTTCTTCTCTTAAGCAGATTGCTCAGTAGCAGGGTGGAAATCAAAGGGCCTTTCAGACATAAACAGTTTGGACCGTAAATGGTGCTTCATGGTATCTGAACAATTTGTTGTAACGTGTAAATACTGTGGGAAAATAGTATCTTTAGCTCCCAGAGAAACACTCGTAGTTAACACACTTGTAGTATGACTATATTTATGCACTTTTCATTTAAAACATTGGTTTGGGTATTCCCAGTGTACCTTCACAGAATTCCTTGAGGAGTTCTTGTTTTTCCTTACACTACTCTATATGACAATACTAAGTGAACTAAGCTACTTTTTTAGATCTGGACATTGCTGTTTAATCCACAGCCTGACAACATAATAAGTAGATTCCCAATTTAGCCATCTCCCTGAAGTTTCAGGTAGTAACTATTAGCTTAAAGTAGGGTATAATTGGATTCATCCTGTATTACCTTCGAAAAATGCTGAGGATGATGTATATACAGCTGTCAGAATCCAGTTCTTTGGTTCATGTACATTTAGGTTTTTCATAGTGGATCTCTGTTGTATTTTGTTAATTACAGTGTTTTTGGTTCATTGAGTGAAGATTCTGCAGGGATCTTGCACCTTTGAAAGACTGAATATAATTACACTGTCAAGGAAGCGTGAAATCATTGATGGCTTGAGGATGTGCTCTTTCACTTGCTAACATGTATTAAACATTATTTGCAAAAGGTAGATTATGTAAAAGTCAGGTACGTACCCAGCACTGACGTGCTAACACTGATCAGGTTTAAACAGCGAGTTTTACTCGTGTTCTCATTAGCCTTAGTGTTGGTTTCCAGTTTAGAATTAAACAGTTGACATTTGCTCTTAATAACAACAACATACTGTGATTTTTTTAATTAAACAGTAATTCAGATGTATTACTCTAAGAATGAAATTCTGTCATTTGACACCATAGTGCCCTTTCTATGTTTTTTTTTTCACTCAATATTCTTCTTGGCCTTATATTTAAATCCCTATGCAATTAATGTTTTATATCTGCATTTTTTTAAAAAAATAGACATTATATAAGTGATTCTTACATGTAGCAACTATTGCTTTTCCAGTAAAAGATTTAAGGATTTTGTACTGTGATTTGTATTCATTGCCCCAGTTCACAAAGTAGTGGAGCCTTGCTATAATGTGAAATCTTACAGTCATGGACCCCTTCCAATCAGATTTCTGAATTTCAGAAGATTGGTGTAAAACTGTGACATAACTATCAAGACCACAAATTATAGTGAGGATACAATTATATTCATGTGTCTTGGCTTTGCAACATAACTTAGAAAACAGATACAGTTTTCTTTAACCTAAATTATGTATACTCTGTTACGTATTGATTTGAGATTTACTAATAGATTTTAGGGGACATAGAAATGAGAGTTCCACCGCTGAAACAAGACTGTTCCACTCAGACATCTGACTGTTGTCTGAGTGTACAGATGTGCCCTGATTTCTGGCTCATTGGCCATAATACTGTGCCTAACTAATGTCCTAGGTTTATTTCCCCCATCTACAGACTAAGCGTTCATAACAACATGAATTGTATACTAGTAACATTTGATGCTTTTAAATGTTTGCTTCTTAAAAAAAAAAAAAAAAACAAAAACAAAAAATACACAAAAAAATCTAAAACCAAGAACTGAATTTCGAAGTGAATGTTTCAATAAAAAAGATTGTTTGAGTTTGGTGTGCAAGCTGTTTTATAATAAAAACAAAAAACAAAATTTAAAATCATTGACATGTGTCTAAACTATCAAAATACACAACAGACTTGGCATGTAAAGATACGAAATTGTGTTACCTTGAGGATGACCATATTTTGAAGTTTAAAACACAATAATAAGTGTATGATTAATTCATAAATTTAAAAAATTATCTTTAAAGCTGTCTATTGGGAAAGTCCAAAGCAATTATGTCTGTTTTTAAGTGGAATTTCTCCTTACCTTTTTATAAGTTACTATTTTTGTAAATCTATAGAACTGATTTTTATAGATCTTGCCATTATGTTGACTCTTTAGGAATTAATGGGCTAGATATACCTTAATCAAAGGTAGAGTACAAATTTAACCCTGTAAGACACTAGATTCAATCCAGAGGCCCTCCTGCTCCCCCCACAAAAGGAAAAGAATTAAGAAAGGTGGTTTGCTTTAGAAAACTAATTCACACAAATCATTGCATCGACAAATTAAAAGGCAGTTTCCTAGAAAACGTTATTTTAAAATTTTTATGTACATATTGCCTGCAAAGTCCAGTTTATCACTGTAATTGTATATTGAATTCCCATTTGTGATATTTTAGTTCATTACAAAGGATAACAAAATTTCTGAATAAATGTGTATTTGGAGTTATAGGTGATAAAACCTCAACAGCCAATTTACTTCTCTGCCTTGACTTATTTGAAGATTATTAATAAAACTTTAGTAAGTTTTTAAATATGTGTTTAAATCCTTTTAACTCATCCCTAACTCAGCTTCAAGAAGCTAGACTCCAGCAACAGATGGCATGAAACCACTGGTTAACCATGTAACTATAATGATGTGTCAGAAATCTTTTTCTTCCATTCCTTTTGTTATTTTATAAGACTCGTAAGATCTTGATGATGGTTTAAGTGCCAAAGCACAATTCTGCTTTCAAAAATCAAAGTTTAGACTTGAGAAATTTAAGCTAAGAGCTCACAGAAAATATCACTCAGTAAGCTATAAAAATATTTTTAATTTATACTCTACATAATTTTACTGTGAACACTAGAAAATTCTCTAAAGGTACTAAGGGAGAGAGAATGTGTGTAGAGAAAGCATTGTATTTAATCACAGGCTAAATTTAATTTGATATAGAAATACTGTGTACATTCAGGTCACAATTTCTTCTGGACTTTTTAGATATAATTAATGGGGCTTATAATTTTTGTCTTGATTTAAAGAGGAAATTGAACATCAATGTTTGTTTTTTTAATAGTGGGAAGTTGTCTACTTTCCATGATTAGAGAAAAAAGTATTTTTTGTGTTTTGCTAAAATATTAATTACTTTATGCTTGCACACTATTCCACAGACACTGGTCATGGTTTGTTGGATGCTTGCAGATTCCTTTAATGCCTCCTTATTTTGGCCCATTCAGAGTATTGGCATTCGGGGTTGAATGAGTACCCAGCCTTTGGCAGTTTACAGCAACATGGGCTGACCCTTCTGTTCTCCCTTCGGGTCATCCTGGTAGGTCTCATCCATCACTGTCAGGTACATCGGGTCAGTGCAGAGGGTTGTCCTACGACCAAGTCAGCTGGGTACACAGAGCAAAAAAATGACCTGTATCCTACTGTAATTATTCTTAGCAACAGCGGAATGTCATGTGTAAATTTTTGCATAACTTTAAAAACAACTATGAGCTGAAAGGCCATGGCACAAGCAAATATTGTGGAGGTTAAGATAAAAATAAGTTGTCAGATTATTTAGATGGTTTTCTGTTCCACAGACTTCTTGAGGTTCAGCATAAACTACATTTCAGCGAACTAATTAGTTAAGGGGTTAGCATGGTTTCTGCTTCCTTTACATAAAGGCACAGTTTTGTGTGGGCTCTGATAACCTCCACCAATTGTCGATAATAATCCCAAATTTTAACAGCGAAATCTTATGTAAAATTTTATTTTTCTCTTTTTTGCATATCTTTTGTAAAGATGCCATTGTAGATATTTTCTGCTACCAAATAAAACTTTTCAAACAGTTTGGCTTCAAGACCTTTAAATAGATACTATTTTGGATACTATTTTGAAATAAGGACATTTACAGACATTTTATAAATATTTAATAAGAATATATAAATGTGCATTTCCAGCCCATCCTTAAACTCTCTTATTTTTGTTGATACATGTTTGCAGTATGTAACAATTTCATTCATTGTGGGAGTAGATGCATGTACATAACACTTATAAATTGTCATTTCATCCCTTCCATTTCCCCTCCCCTTCCATCTCTTGGTTCCCTTTTGCAAAAGATCTGTCTCCCTGTTTTCTGTTATCTGACGTTTATTTTTCTCTTTATGTTTTGGTTTCTGATGTAAGAGAACCATGTGATACTTCAGTTTTGAGTGTCTGATTCATATCACTTACCACTGTTGTCTCAAGGTGAATCCATTTTCCTACACATGACTCAGGCTTGCCCTGCGTGGCAAGGTAGTACTCCGCTGTGTATAGATGCCACAATTTGTTTTTTTGGTACCAGGGATCAAACTCACGTCCAGATGCTTGCAAGGCAGGTGCTTATGCCACTGAGCTAATTCCCCGGCCCCATGCCACAATATTTTTATCTGCTCATCCGTTGATGGACACATATGCTACTTGCTTTTTTTTTTTTTTTTTTTTCCTGGTACTGGGGATCGAACTCGACCTTGTGCTTGTCAGGCAGGTGCTTATGCCACTGAGCTAAATCCCTGGCCCTGCTGCTTTCAAGATTCAGGTACTGTGAATTGTGCTGCTATAAACATGGTTCTGCTTGTATCACTGTAATATGATGTCTTCAACTCTGGAGGGAAGATACCTACAAGGGAAATAGCAGAGTGGAATGGAATATTGTCTTTTAGTTTTCTGAGGAGTCTTATACTGTTTTCCATAATGGTTATACTAGTTTACAGTCTCGCCACCGATGAGAAAGGTCCCCTGCCAACACTTACACACACACACACACACACACACACACACGACCCCCCCCCCGCATCTTGCCAACATTTGTTATTTGATTTTTTGATGATAGCTGTTATTTCTGGAGTAAGATGGAATCTCAGTGTTATTTTAATTTGTACTTCTCTAATGGCAAGAGATACTGAAAACTTTAAATCTTTTTTTCTGAACAAAGAAACTCAATTGTGCTATTAATTGTAGTCCTAGATCCACTATGCAGTCCCTCATTTTCTCAGCCTTCTTTGTCAGGTACGTTAAATCATGCAAAGAATTGTCCTACACTAAACTCTTCTGGGTATGCAACAAGAACACTATGTCCTACTGTAGCATCTGATGTCATGTGTAAATTTTTGCATAATTTTAAAAACAATTATGAGATGAAAGGCCATGATGTGAGCAAATATGGTGAACATGAAGATAAAAATTAATTCTCAGATTATTTAGATGTCTTCCATAGACTTCTTTAGGCTCAACATAAACATGATTTCCTCCAAATAACACTCTGAGACTGTGACCACGCATATGCTCTGTTACTTCTCTGTCTAGCCAGTGTAACCAGCATTTCATTGTATAAAAGATCAGATAAAAAATAACCTTTGCCCTCAAAAAGTGTTTTATATGTAAAACATGACCTGGGGAATAATGCAGTTTATGATTTCTGTAAGAGTTTGCAAACATTCCCAGAGTTTGCAAACATCCTGCCAGAAATTACTGGGGACTGGGAAAAACCAGTCCTTTGTTTCATTCAGCCCAGCATTTTATAACTCTTTGAGTCTCCTCAAATCATACTATATATGTATATCGTTTGTTTGTTTTAAGAGAGGGTCTTACTTTGTAGTTCATTGCCTTGAACTCATTATATACGCCAGGCTGGCCTCCGTTTCACGGCAATCCTCCTGTCTCAGCCTCCTGAGTGCTGTGTGCCACCACACCTGGTCTCCTTAAATCACGTTTTTGAGAGGGTAGGACTATCTTTCTTTGAGGTTACACTGACCTCATTTGTCCTTGTGCCACTTTATAAACAAGCATTCAGTTTCTTTGGGGAAAAAGCTGCATTCTTCGATGGAGAAACATTTTTTGAATTGCAGTGGGAGAGGGCAGAGATTTTGTTAAAGAGTTTTATGCAGAATAAATTGGCAACTCTTTAACTGTTGTTGCACATGTAAAAGCTGGGTCAGTAATAGGCATTTTATTAAATGTGAGTGTATAGCATTTCCCCTTAAGATTTCATCATTTATGGCCAGGGATTTAGCTCAGTGGTGTAAGTGCCTGCCTGGCAAATGCAAGGTTGTGACTTCAAGGTTCATGATTTAGTTTACATAAATATTTAAATAAATGATCACCTATAGAAAAGTAAGTTTCTTAGATGTGTTTCTGTACTTTGTTAGACGGGATTTTATTTCCGTTTTGATTGGAGACTAACCTTTCAATCAGTGTGTGACTCACACAGTGCCCAGAGTATCTGAAGTAGCCCACGTGTGGAGTATATGTAATTGTATAGAAAACTAAATTCCCCCAAAAGCTTATTTTGTCAAAGATGGCATTGCAATGGCTAATTTCTTCTGTCACGTTGAGTGGATTGTAGTGCTCAGGTGTGATCAGAAATGTTCCTATGAAAATATTTTAGATGTGATTAATAGTTGCAATTAATTGATTTTAAGTAAAGCAGATTACTCTCCCTGGTGTGATTCCAATCAGTTGAAGACCTTAAAAGCAAAAGCTGAGGTTTTGTGAAGAAGAAATCCTGGCTTAAGACTTAGGGTTGACAGCATAAGAGAGTGTAAGTTGGTCAGTGGTAGTCTGTCTAGCATGCACATGGCCCTGGGCTTAAGCCCCAGCAAAGGAAGGATAGAGGGGGTGGAGAGAGGAAGAGAGACGTGAGAGACAGAGACAGAGACAGAGGGGGAGAGAAACAGTGTAATCCTGCCTGAGTTTCATAGAAGTGTATATGCGCACATAAATTGTATATATACATACATAAATATACTGTGAGTTCAAGGCTAACCTGGACTATGTAGTGAAGCCCTGTGTCAAAAAATGTTTCAACAATGAGCTACAGATATTAAACACATTGAGCAATGAACATGCATTAGTTCATTAATCTGAGTGCCTCTTACAAATATACCAGCTGGGGATTTAGTTCAGTGGCATAAGCACCTGCCCTGCAAGCTCACAGTTGTTAGTTGCATCCCTGGTACCAAAAAAAAAAAAAAATGTATATATATATATATATTATACATATATATACATACATATATATACATACCAGCCAATGATTTTGAAGTTTAATTTAAAAATGAACTGGCAATTTTTGCTCACTTTTTTCTCTAAAATTCTCTTGAATTTCCAAAGCCATTTACTGATGATAGTGAACCAAGTTTTCACTTCTTTCTGACCATTATTTTATTATTAAATTGGCATCTCTAGTGAGGGAAAATGGTATGATAAGAAATAGATGATTGGATTCTTGTTGATAGAATACGGGGTCCTATAAAGAACAGAACTGTATGGGTAACTCTGGGTCAGCCTTGGCTGTTTCTGAGGTTTCTCTGTGTCATTAGGCAGGATTGTATCACTATCATGTCTGGAAACTAACCCTTAGATGAGTGTGTGATGTTTGCAGTGCCCAGAACGCAGCCTTGACTACACTGTCACATGATACAACCTAATGCCTATGTTCAGTTATCCCTAAATTTTCCTTTTGTGTGTCAAACATGTTTAAATACATCTACAACTATTTTTTATAATCAGTTTTGTGAGAACAGTGACTCTGTAAATTGCCTAATTCTTATAAAGTAGTAATTTTGGTTTTCTAATTAAAGAGAATAATAAATGTTGTCTCATTCTACTAGATAGTGGCTTATGTAAAATTCAATAATTTCACTAAGGTAACTGCTAAATGTGAAGCATTATATGAGGTGCTGTGGGAAACACAGAAGAAATATGCATCATCTTTATCTCTATATCTTTATCTCTACACATGACATAAGAGAAGACCCAGGAAAGTGATTTCAATTACAAATAATTAGAACAAAATTTTTTAAAATTTTATTTAAGGAGAAAAAGAGAAAAAAAACAAGGGTACAAGTAATACAGAATTTCAAAAAATAGGAAATCACTACTTAATAGATTACATATTGTCATTTTAGAAATAGTTGTTCAAGTTACAAAATTAAAGCATACAAAGTGAGCATTCAAACAATGAGACTGCAAACAGTTCTGTTCAATGATCCAACAAAAATTCAGTAATACGGTTATCTATCATACACTTAAATATACATGCAGTTATACCCTTTAGAGCACTTTCTTTTTTTCTCTTTTTTACAATGACAATTACACATTTTGAGTTTTATTACTCCCACAGTTCTTATTACTTTTTTTTGAAGAGAATAAAATCAAATGTGACATAACAAAACAGAGTCAGTCAAATCAGAAGGATCGACATAATACATGGTGTAAAAACAGATACAAGATGATCAACAATGGTTACCATAATGCCTCTTGCTATCTTAAAAGTAATTGCCTATATCATCAGTCATAATAAAATTCAACTAAACTGTACAGAACAAAACCAATAAAACCTAAACATTGGAGACATTACAGTACTTCAAAAGAAGATAATAGTCAAACCAGAATGGGCATCATAGTGAATCTTATTGTCTTCAAAGTAGTTGCCTATACCCTCAAACTTGATACTATCAAGCAAAACAGAATAGAGTAAAATCAGTCAAAACAAGATGGTAAGAGCAATACAGGGTTTCAAATCAAGTTAATAGGAAATCAAAGTGAGTTACTATAATATATCCTGCTATTTTTAATTTGTTTTTTCACTTAATTAAAAAGAAAAATAAATAAATAAATAAAAAAGATTGAGATAAGAGGACATAACAATACAACAGCACAGGTCAGAACATAACAATTTAAGCAACATAGTGTTTCACCACAAGATATCCCGACGTAACAGTAGTTACCATAGTGCCTCTTTCCTTGAAATATTTGAGTATAACTTTGTATATTGTAGCATCAAACATATCAAGACAATGTAAA